AACCCAGAACCTCCGGGTGTGCAGCCGTACATGCTAGCCACTACACCACCGAGGCAGTTAAAAAAACTAAATATTCTTATAATGATACTTTCTTAGATTTACGCGAATGTTTGACATTATTAAATAAAACTATCTTTTCGGATTATTTCGCGGATTTATTTTGATTTTTGGTTCCCGACGTTTCGAATGCTTTACAGCATCCATGGTCACGGGAGAGACTGAGGTGTTACATGTCTTAAAGATATAGTTGTTACAGACAGCCTACCCACAATTAACAAAATGAAAATTGCACCAATTACATTACAATATTTTTAACTTTAAACATTTTTATAATTTTAATTATTGAATATGGAAAATTATTTATTTAATTTTTGCTATTATTTTTATAATTATTACAATTTTAAAAATATTAATTAGTAATCTATATTTAGTGTTGCCATTATTATATTTATAACCTTAAATAAAAAATAAAAAATATAAAAATATAGTATTAATTATTAAAGCCATATAATTGTTCTATGTGTAATTTAAAAAGTTAAAATTAATTACGGATAATCATTTTAATTTAGTTTGCTATTATTTAAAAACAACTTACTAAGCAACACTATTAAAATATACTTTTACAAATGAAAAATATTAATCTGATAAGCTGTCATTTTGATCTACACAGTATGAACTTACTACATCTGCCTGTCTGTTATGTTTATATTTATTATTTGATTTTATTATATTAATAACAGGATCCCATGACGATGGTAGTACCCAGCCATCTTCCCTATTGAAATTTGGATGTTTTTTAATTTCTATGGCTTCTCGAATCATTCTAGGGCGATATCGGTTTTCTTTCGCCAGGATTTGAGGTCTATCGAAACGAATATAATGGCTTGGGCGGTCCTGGCTATGTTTGCAGACAGCAGATGTTGTATTGCGACGGTGCTTCACATCAGCTATGTGTTCTTTGACCCGGGTTCTAATGGATCGCTTTGTTTGTCCAATGTAAGAGAGCCCACAATCACAATCAAGCTTGTAGACTCCTGCATCTTGTAGAGGGATGTGGCACTTGACAGGTGGTAAGAACTGACTAATTTTCTTTGGCGGCTTGAAGTAAGTTTTAATTGAAGCTCGCTTTAGAATGTAGCCAATCTTGTCAGTGACTCCTTTCATGTATGGCAAGACTGCAGGGACGCGCTCGACTGTGGCTGGTTTCACTCGGTCACTGTGACGCAGGCGCGGCACTTGCAGCTTGTTGTCACGCAGAACTTGCTTGACATGTTGCAGTTCTCCGGCCAGGTGTTGCTCGTCACAGATCCCGCGCGCTCTCTGAAACAGAGATTTTCCCACGGTAGCTAACTGTGAAGGATGGTGGTGAGATTCACCGTTCAGGTACCTATCAGTATGGGTCTTCTTTCTATACACAGTATGACTCAAGGTGTTGTCTGGGTTACGTTTAACTAATACATCTAGGAAAGCTAAGGTTTTGTCCGATTCTAATTCCATTGTAAATTGAATTTTAGGATTTATAGAATTAAGGTGTTCTAAGAATACAGTTATTTTATCAGAAGGTAATATTGTAAAAGTGTCATCTACATACCGCTTGTAGAAACGAGGGGTCACGGGTGATGTGTTCAGAGCAGTCTCCTCGAAGTCCTCCATTAAGATGTCGGCTACGACGGGGGAGACTGGCGAACCCATGGCCACTCCATCCACTTGCCTGTAGAATTCACCATTCCACAGTAGATAGCCGGATGTTAGGCAGTGTTTTAAAAGTTCAATGTATTCTATTGACATGTTGTGATCTAGTAGCTTCCTAGATATTATTTCAATACAGTCTTCCACTGGTAGGCTGGTAAATAAAGACTGTACATCGAAACTAACCATTGTTTCATTGTCCATGAGTTTTAGGTGTTTAACTTCATTGACAAAATGGTAAGAGTCCTTTGTGAACGCTCTTGTTAATCCTCTGAGTGGTGAGAGTACTTTTGCTACTAGTTTAGCCAATTTGTAAGTCGGTGAGTCGATTTGACTCACAATTGGCGTAGCGGAGCGTTAGTCTTGTGTATTTTCGGAAGTCCATACAACTTAGGTGGTTTTGCACATGATGGAATAAGATTTTTAACATCAAGATTTAATGTGTCGGAGTGTTCCTTAATTAGCTTTTTAGTATTATTTAAAACGGTGGTAGTTGGATCCGTTTTAACCTTTTTGTACGTGCTCTCGTCCGACAAAAGTTGTTTTATTTTATCATTATAATCTGATGTATCCATCACAACGGTTGCATTTCCTTTGTCTGCGCGTAGAACGGTGATGTCTGACCTATTGCGTAGGTTCTTCAACGCTAAATACTCTTGTTTATTGAGGTTTGGTTTGGGCCTAGTACTACGACGTAATAAAGACGAAACATCTTGACGTATGGCCTCCATATCCTCAGTTTTCATAATATTTTGGGCCAGGGCATCTTCAACTGCGCAAATAATGTTTTCATAAGGAATGCGCGTAGGCGTTACAGCAAAATTCAAACCTTTATTTAGTACCCGAATGGTAGGTTCGTCTAACGTTTGTTTTGACAGATTGACAACCTGAGGTCCGCACGAGTGTGTATCTGTGGTAGACGGGCGCGTTCCGTTATACTCTATGGTTTTCTTTTTCTTTTTGATGTTTAATTTTTCAACGAGTTTTTGATATTTTAAAATATGTTTAATTTTGCACTGATTATATTTGGTTGTTTCACGCTTATTTAAAGTGTCAATGCAATCGTTGAAATCAGATGGTGTCAATACTGTCTTAACAATATTAGACGTCTGTTCAATGTCCCGGTCGTTTCTGCGTAGATCGCGGCGATTTTGTCGAATCACTGTCCGTAACAACTTAAAACTTGCCTGGTTTACGATCTTAGCGCTTCCTCGTATGTTCTTTTTGGAAGATATTTTCACACACGTAGGAATGAGACGATGATCACGACATCTCTTCAAGAAAGTTAACGATGTTAATAATCTTGCGCGCTTTGTCTTTAGATCTTCTAACCGGCGTATCTTGTTTGCGGTTTCCAGTCCGTACTGGTTCACATAATACTTTCTTAGATTTACGCGAATGTTTGACATTATTAAATAAAATTTTATTCTTATAATGATTAATTATTATATACTATATTAAAATTTTATATCCATATATTATTAAATTACATTAACACAGCTTTACATTCCACAACGGTCACCCACGTATAACCTACATTTCCTTCTGACATGACTTATAGCATTGCTGATATGAAATAGCAAAAAAATATAATAACTATTTTCTACCTCCTATTTTGCCCGCCTGAATTTACTTTCATTCTTTTCTCGCACTGCCGCCGCGTCTGTCTGTCTGTAAGCGATAAAGTCAAAAACTACTGAACGGATATTCATACGGGTTTCACCACCGGATAGAGTGACTCATGAGGAAGGTTTAGGTGTATCATTCATTAAGGTTGTCTAAAACGGATGAAATATGACGATAATTGTAGATGATGTCGAAGTGTTTACAAAAGTGTTGTTGTGTTGTTTACAAAATCACTGTAGTTCAGAATGATAGCATATATAGACGATTTAAACACTTTTAGCTTACGTACTAGTATTTATAATATGTATGTATTTTAAATGAAGAGAAACTCAACAGTTGACCATTAACCATAATGATGTTCTCCTAGCCGATTCCGGCTACGGCGGCCAATCTCATTGAGACTAGCCAACTGCGCAGGAGATATTATAGTTCTCAAGTGTACGCGCAGACACAAGTGCACTCTCTATTCTTGTCACTCTCATACTCCGGTGGGACGACACGAGACACGACCAGTGAGAGTTAAGGCGCAGGTCCGACGGCTTTACGTGCTCTCCGAGGCACGGGGGTGTAACACCGCCAACTTCCTAACTCCGGGCTGTTACTGAAACTTACTATACAGAAAGACTCAATAACTAAACTCGGCCCGAATACCCGGGACTCGAACCCAGGACCTCCGAGTGTGCAGCCGTACATGCTAGCCACTACACCACCGAGGCAGTTATGACCATAATAACCAGTTAGATATTTCCAAGTACACGGATAAAAAGCCTATCACTATTCAACCTAAACTGTCTCTAAAAATATGTTGCTAAGAAAGAAGGACGCACTAACAAATCGATAAACAATAAATATTGATTGTCTAATTGAGAATTTGTCAAGCTACGTAACGAAATTGGTGCTATTAGGCGGCAAATCAATATCACATTTCGAGACATGTTGTGCTATATGTATATTGTAATTTTTCTTCATATGGTTGAAGAGAACAGTTGAAAATTTTAGAACCTCTAGCTTTTAGTTTGGTATGTACTATGTATCTTTAAAAGTAAAAATGGAATATTAGTATCTTCTACTGTCTTTTACTTTTTTAAATCGTATGAATAGTTCTTTAAACTAATACTGTTTAGTGGTTTGAACCAAATGTAATTATTATCGTACTAGATCTTAAAAAGTTTTAAGGAAACTTTGTTAAACTTTAGGCAGATGTTCGATTCCCTTGACGTGCAAGCCACTAGACTTGACCATAGCTTTTTATGTCGATGAATCTCATCTTACAAGACCTCAAAGACTTAAGGTTTTACAGAAAACTTATTAACTCCCAACCCAAACTCAAAACATTTTTCAAAATTAAGAATTAGTCTACAAATGCATGAAAAATATAATAAAACGACAATAAAAGGCTTTAAAAACATCTTTACTTGAGAAGGTGCACGTGCATTACGTTATAATCCCATCAATCCTACTAATATTATAAATGTGAAAGTTTGTGAGGACGAATGAATGGATGAAATTTGTCACAGAGATAGATTATATCTGGTATAGCACAGGTTCCCGTGGGATAGAATTGTTTTGATTTTTCACAAGGGACAAACCCGAGCAAAACGAGGATGAGTTGCTAATTTAAAATATTATATGGAATATTTTACATATTTGATTTATTTTATTCATTAATATATTTTCAGTATACAATGGAAAATGACGACCAACCGCTCGAAAAAGTCACAATTAAAAAGGCAGTATCAAAACTCAACCACCGTGCTCCAAGAACGCTACAGAATTTGGGCAGAAGTTTGGAAAGAGTTGGGCAAATAGTTACGACGCTAGATCCAAGTATCTTGGACAGAATAACATTTGAAAGTGAGAACTTAAAAGAGAGTTTTAGTGGGTCATCTTCTAGAAGGCACAGCGATGACGGTGGACGAGCTAAAAAGGAGTTTAGGGAAGGTAAGCTAAATTTAATTTTTAAACCATTCCATTTTATATACTATTATTAGCTATTGAGTAAAACCTGGTACTAATGCTCACTTAAAAGTTTTATACAAATAAAATTCAAATTATTAGACATGCTGTTATTTGACCAAAATTCATGATAATTATTTATTCATTTTTAGATCTGATTGAACAATAAAAACTGCGTGACAAAAATTATTGTTACAGCTAAATTATCCAATATCCAATAGTCTTTACCGGCAAAGTAAACTGTACTCAACAGACACGCTCAAAAGCTATAACATAGAATTGACTTGAATAATTTACTCGTTTGAATAAGCAAATACCATATATGCTTTTAGCCAAATGCACGAAACACATGCACATTTTATATAGAAAAATTCTTAAAAGGCTTTTTGTTTAAAGTTTTATTAAATTTGACCATTATGTGGCATATTCACTTTGCTCAAAGTTTAAGTAACATCATAAAAATATAATATAAGGTTTTTAAAATAAACTCTGCCCAAATCAAATTAAAAAATGATAAGAGATATTTTAGTGTATAAGTATGTGCGTAAACCCAACGTGCACTCTAATCCAACTCTCAAACGCCTGTGGCAGTACAACTCGACACTTGGGGTGGTAGATCAGGTACAGGACTCTGAGGTATCAGCTTTACGTACTCTGATTCAGCACAGGGGTGAAACATCGCCAACTTCCGAACAAGGATATTATTGAGAATTTCTAGACAGAAAGTATTATATTCTTGGTCCGGGCTGGGACTCGAACCCAGGACCTTCGTGTCTAGGATCCTAAGATCTGCAATCATATAAGCTAACTTACCAAAATTTAGTAATAGTTATAAATTCAATACAAATATGATATTTTTGAAGATGGCACAAGTTCTGAACCGCCTACAGCAGGCGTAACAAACTATAACGCGTGGAATGATCTCGCAAGTTCGACGTCCACTACACGAACTGAGTTGAGTGTGTCGGACGGACATGTGGATGAAGAGGTAAGACTTAATGTAAATCTCTATTCGTGTGTATGTTTGTTACCCCTTAACCCTGAAACGACTGGACTGATTTAGATGGAATTTAGTATACAGATAGACTATGACCTGGAGTAATTTGTAGATTTAAAGACCAAAAGTACTCATATGGCAAATAAACGATCATCACGCTTTTTTTATGGTGCTCAGTGATAAACAAGCAGACGGTCCACCTGATGGAAAACTAAATGTTCATGCACTTAGGTTTTATGAAACAAAAATGCAGAACCGCAGGTGCGTTGTCACTGTGAGGACTAAGATGATATGCCTCTTGCCTGTAATTGCGCTGGCTATCTTATCCTTCAAACAATAACACATCAATGCAATAATTCTTGCTTGGCGGGAGAAATAGATAAGCGGGTGGTACCCATCCAATCCGACTCCTCAGGCTTATTACTAATTCAAAAAGCCAGCTATGAAATACGTATCGTCACTAAGCAATTTTGAACACATCACGTTTTGGTTAGTGAAAAATACCGCAGAGCGTTTTTAACGTTAGTTATACTGCGGGCTTAGACAAGATTTTAAAAAATTGAAAATTGTATGAAAAATTGAAATGTTATACCAGAAATATGTCATTCCCGTATAATTTTACAGCTCGGTAGTGCTATTCTGTAACTTTTATAAAACTCGACAGCTGAATCCGTGATTATACTTCATACAACTGTATGGAGTATATTTACAGATTGTGAAAATATAGTTTTATTTATAATATCTGAAACTCATAAAAGTAAGTGAAAAACATGGTAAACATTCCGTGTTGTCCAGAAAATTATATATCTAGATCTAGAACTTTTTTCTCTCAAGATTCTAATACGTCGTCGTAGTCACGACTCGGCGTTACCAACCACGCCTATACACAAGTCAGCATGGAGGTCGACTGACAGCCTTGCGCCTGATTCGGCCTTTGGTACATCGTTGGCTGATATAATGGAAAGTCCCGCTAATAAGGTTTGTTTAGATTAAGTGGAGTTCAGTGAGACATATTAAGTATTTATGTATTCAGCCCTTTTTAACGTCCCACTGCTGGGGGTGGGCCTCCCGTCAGTATGAGGGGAATCAGGCCATAGACCATAGTCCACCACGCTGGCCAAGTGGGGGCGGACTGAGCATGTTTTTCGAAGATTTGCTACGTTCTCACAGACATACAGATTTCCTCACGATGTTTTCCTTTGCCGTATGACAAATAGTAATAGAGTGTAGTATGTAAGTATACCATCTCTACCATTTTGTATACTGATTCATCTACCTAAAGGTTGCCTGGAAGAGATTGCTTCTAGCGATAAGGCCGCCTGCTGTACAACTTTTTTTATGTATCTTTCTCTTCTTTATTTGTTGCTTGTGTGGTGTGCAATAAAGTGTTCATTGTTATTATTAATCATGTGGGAAATAATTCGTACCTGGGATTTGAACCCACTTTACTCGGTTTCCCAAGCAAGCACGTTACCACTTGGCTAGCACTGCCTTGTTAATTATTTATGCTTCATACAGAAATTATAATAAATGTGATAGTAACTCTGTTTGTTTGTTACATTTTCACGCTCACACAGTTCAACCGATTTCGATGAGGAATCACGTAGATTGCTTGATGGGGACAAACATAGACGTAATAAAAACTTAAAAAAAACGACTTCCAGGCACTAAAAAGTAAAAAACAACTAAACGGAGGTTTTCATTTAGAATAGATACCTAATCAGATATTTTAGAAGTCAGTGCCAGCCGATGCAAAGCAAATCTAATATATTTCGATACGTAAAATACATATTTACCTATTAGATATTCATATATTAAAATATTGTAGGCTGCACATTTGTAATATATATGTAGTATGGATATAGAAAACAAATATACTTAATTATGTTTTTTATTTGACTCAGTTTGTAATGACCCTGCTTGCTGTGCCAGCCATCGCGGGTTCGAGTCCCGCTGGTGGCATTCATATGTGTGATGAGCACGAATATTTATACTCCAGTCGTGTCAGTCATTATTTATAATATGTATGTATTTAAAAATATAAACGTGTAGCATCTCAACTATTTGATATCCATAACACAAGCCTCGTAGCTTACCATGGAACTAGATGGTGCTGTGTGTTAATGTCCCAACATATGTAATTGTATATACATAACAAATGTACTATAACCTAAATATTGTTATCTAATAATAATCTCCTTAGATTCGTCTCAGAGATGATATCAAAACTCCCAGAGACAAATCAGAGGAAAGGCGAGCTACGCTCAATTGGCGTTTAGTTAAGAACGCGACATGCGCTGCCGTGGGGTTTGGCAAACGAGACACTTTGCCCGGCACTCCGTTGCCTAGCTTTCAGGTTAGTTTTTCAGGTTAGGGTTTCAGGTTAGTTGTAGCTTTTAGATAAAATGGACATCCTGAGTCCTGACCGATTTCGGTCACAGCAGCCATCTCACTGAGACTTCTACGGGACATTTTATAGAGATGATTATAAGATGTTTACGTATGAGGGAGAGCGCACACAGACGACACTCTATCCCTCTCACTCTCACACTGTGGTGGGAAGAAACCACCAACTTGTCATCTGTTACCTATAACTGACACTAGTATCTGTGAAGATATTACAGTGCTCGTGTGAGGGAGAGTGCAACACGCGGCACTCTCTTTCTTTTTCACTCTCATATTAACTTGTCAACTCTAGGCTGTTATTAAGAATAGTATATGTAAGGGCGACACTGACACTGTGTTGGAACAAAAATTTGACAAAAATAAACAAAATCATGCTCTGACAAGTCTAACACCGACAACCTTTCAATCTGGGCCGGTACTGAGATATTCTCAATAGAAAATCTTAATTACTATTGAATTTTTATTCGATCCGGAAGTCGAACCCAGGACCTCCGGATCGCTCATGTTATCGCTACAGGAAAGTTTAAACATTCCACTAATGCGAGTTTTTTAAACTCTATTATTATATTCATAGCAGAGTTTTAAAACTACTAATAATCTAAATAAAGTTAAATAATGTGTTTGTCTGTTTGCCCTTAAAGCACTAAACAGATATCGATGAAATTTGGCAGGAAGATAGTTCGAATCATGGGTTTACGCCCACCTTACCTTCTTACCATGCGAATATACAAAGCTGACGGCACAAACTAATGTTTAAATACATAATTTAAGTAATTACAAAGCAACCACTTCGTCGTTTCAATGTTTTTTTGTCCAAACGACAGATTTACCTAAAGAGTTTTTAATTCACAATTATTAACTTTTAAATATCAATTCGATTCGTATAAAATATATATTTTACTTTAAACAGTCGACATAATGTATTTTATCTTCATAATGTACTAGCGACTCACCCTAGGTTGATTCCCCATACAAAATTTCATCCCCATTTTCACATCCTTAAGGGATGATTTCCGGGATAAAAAGTATCCTATGTCCTTTCCAGGGTCCCAAGCTATCTTTTTACCAAATTTCATCTAAATCGGTTCAGTAGATCCAAAGATTACCCCCTACAACGTCACAAACTCACAATTCACAAGCATTACCTCTTTATTATATTAGTATATTATTATATTAGTATACATAGATATAAATTTTAAAAATAAATCTTTGCTTTTAAAATAGAGAAAAAAACTATATACTATAAATTACAACATTAGTGCTTTGAAAAAATAAGCACTAAGGTGACGTTGTGTATCTATCACAAAAATATGTATGTTTTTGTACATTTTTAGTCGAAACCAGGCAGCCAAAATTCATATTATAGAGACGACAGAAGCCAATCTATTCCGAATTCGGTACCAAATTGTTCTAATGTTAACACTAATGAGAAGGGGGATGACGGTGAAACTAGCTCTGAGGTGAGTTTAGATACGATTACAGACGTAGTAAATGGACTGAGCAATACTGTCATGAAATTGACATAGAGAGAAAACGATCGTGCGGCCAATATTCATGTTTTATTATAATTTGAATTTTTAAATGGAACTTTAAAAATTATATTATTATAATAGAATGTAAAATTGTTATAAATATCTATCTTTATTAATCGTTCTTCAATTAATACAGAAGACTTCTTGGCCGCACATTCGTTTTGTCTCTGTCGCTCCTTTCCGCCATTTTTTTGCTGACGACTGGCAAGAAATAGTCCGTTCACTGGCTATGGATGCGATATAGAAATTGACATTCAATAGAAGCTATATAAATCAATTCAATTAATTTATATCAGTTCAATTCAATTATGTTTACTTATTTGCATTATAGGGAGATATTCACAATGATAATAAAAAATGTAGCTGATTTTTAACTTATTTCTGCTAATTCCTGCTACTACTGTAATTAAAAACATTCACCAAGTCACCATTTTCACAACTCCCATTCATTCATTAATCTTTCAATCTAATCTATTCTATATATATAAATCGATATATATTCCCTATGGACTCCAAAACGGCTGGAGCGATTTTGATGAAATTATCAGGCAATGTTCAGATTCAGGTCAGCGGGTGACCCTGTGAAGTTTGGTAGCGATCGGAAGTTTAAACGCGGGCGATGCTCCGGGTACTTTTAGTAAGAGATATAATAAAAATCAAATGCTGTTCTTTAGTAAGCATATCAATTGAGAACGGCTAGAACGATTTAGCTGATTTTGTTTTTAAAATGTTCGTAGCAGCTCAAAAAAGGTTTGTTAGGTGAAAATTGGCTAAGTTATCTATCTGTAAAATAGGTAAATTTTGTAGAAACTAAATGCATATTTCTATAAAGTATTTTTATAGGCCACAAATATATATTATAAAACAAATTCTGCCCATCACGTCTGTCTGTCTTCCTGAACGCGATAAACTCAAAATCTACCGAACGGATTTTCATACGGTTTTCACCAAGTTTACCATACTATTACCATAAATTTAGGTGTAGAATTCATTAGGATTTTGTGTAAATTGTTTGAAATACGACGATGGATATTGAAAATGTCGAACAAAATATTCCGACTGGGAGCTTTACTGGAGAAGAGCGTAAGCCGCGTAAACTAATAAAGTTACATGAAAACAATCTATTACAAAGTTATTGCTCTTAAAAAGATCTATTAAACTACAGCAAAGCTATACGTATGTACATTGTACACTCCGAGTCACCGGTCACAAATACATTTATTGAAATTGGGATAGGATATCATCTGTCCGGTCAGTCAGTTACTCATACTTATATCCTAAGTTTTTTATCCCAAAAAAAAATTCATCCACCCTCCTCTAATTTCCAGGGGCTAGACCCAAGTTCCCTAATGTTTCGTGACGGAAGACGTCGTATTGATATGGTGTTGGCATATGAGGAAGAGGACTATGGTGTCATGACTGAAGCGGAAGCCAAGAAACGTGATCATAGACGGACATTTCAGGCAAGTTTTCTTTCAGGGAAGTTCTTTTGGTCACTGTTATCGAAATAAAAGAATGATATGACGTTGGGCTCAGTTTGTAGTGACCCTACTTGCTGTGCCAAAGTCGTGGGTTCGGGTCCCGATGGGAGTTTTCTTTTGTGTGATGAGCACAAACATTTGTACTCCAGTCATGGGTGTTTATATTTATAATATGTATGCATTTAAAGTTATGTATGTGTAGTGTATCAACTATCTGGTATCCATAACACAGGCCTCGTAGCTTACCATGGAACTAGATGGTACTGTGTGTTAATGTCCCAACATATTTATTATTATTATTATTACGTTCGTCAACACTACCACTGTTACGTAGGTCGCTTGTAACTCGATTCGAGTCTCGACACACTGAACTCGCTGTATCCGCTCACGAACTTTTACTCACACTTTTACGGGGTAATATTTAAACCGCTGGATTCTAAATACTCAACAATTGAAACCCGTCCTCTAATTAAAAACATTCGCTAATTTTCACAGGAAAACCTAATCAAAGAGGGCTTAGAACTGGAATTGGAAAACAAATGCCTATCATTCGATGGTAAAACATGGTTTCTCAAAATCCATATACCATGGAAGACTGAAATGAGACTGGCCGAAGTCATAGGAATGAAGCTACCTACAAAGAAGTTTATAACGATATCTGTTAGAGCCTGGGTAACTTATAGGGCAAACTTACTTACTATTTACTAACTATGAATGTCTACAAATAATTATTTAATACTAGCGACTCACCTATTTTTTTTGAGCGGAACCCTAATTCTTTTACTGAAAGAAAAGTAGCCTAAGTTACTCCTTATAACATCAACTACCTGCCAGTGAAAGTCTCGTCAAAATCGGCCCAGCCGTTTCGGAGATTAGCCGGAACAAACAGACAGACAGACAAAAATAAAACTATATTTTCGGATTATTTCGCGGATTTATTTTGATTTTTGGTTCCCGTCGTTTCGAATGCTTTACAGCAATCATGGTCACGGGAGAGACTGAGGTGTTAGACGTCTCGAAGGTATAGTTGTTACAGGCTACCCACAATTAACAAAATGAAAAATTGCACTAAGTACCTTACAATATTTTATAACTTTAAACATTTTTATTATTTTAAATAATTAATTTTTATTAATATTTAATAATTTTAATGAATATGATATTCAAAAAAAAACTTATCACTGTAGAGCGACGAAGCGTTAGCAGAAATGGACCAAAACTGGTACACAAAATGGCGTCGGAAATGGCTTGATATTTATGAATATGAGCACTCGAGAATCGAACCGGAACCATCCTTCTTCGTTTCGACGGAGAAGCCGGGCGTTAAGAGAGAAGAACAGTGAGTGGATTGAATTTATTATCTAACAAATCGTAATATTAAACAACTAGCGACTCGATTCGACTTCGCTCGGGTTTGTCCCTAACTTGCTTCCCAATACAAACTTTCATCCCCATTTTTATAGGACAGGATATATTAAAATAATAAAAAATCAAAATGGCGAATAATACTTTCTTAATACTTTCTTAGATTTTTTAAAATATCAAAATGGCGAATTTGAAGCACCAAATTTGGCCTCTTAAAAAATCTTTCAACTATCGAATGGGATATCAAATTAAAGCTTATTAAGGGGTGATAGCTAAAAATAATAATTTAGTATGGCAAATTAAAAAACAACTCAAATTATCTAATTGACTCAAATTGAGAACCTGGAAGCATTCGGAAATTTATATACATAAGTATAGTATGTTTTATAATTGTGAGTCTTACTATAAAACTATTGTTATTATTTTGACGACTCGCTTGACTCAGTTTGTAATGACCCTACTTGCTGTGCCAGCGGTCGCGGGGTCGTGTCCCGCTGGGGGCATTCATTTGTGTGACGAGCACGAATGTTTGTACTCCAGTCATGGGTGTTTATAAATATAATATGTATGTATTTAAAGTTATTTATGTGTAGTGTATAAACTATCTGGTATCCATAACACAAGCCTCGTAGCTTACCATGGAACTAGATGGTGCTGTGTGTTAATGTCCCGACATATTTTTATTTATTTATTTACATTTTAATTAAAAATAAATATATTTACGGATTTTTATCGAATATATTTTGAGTTTTGGATTTCGACGTTACGAATGCTTTACAGCAATCATGGTCACGTTAGACTAAGGTTTTTAACATCTCAAAAGTTGTAAGGTGTACAATGATTCTAAAATCAATAGGGTAAAATATTCGTATTATTTATTTATTAATATTTCAATAATTTACATACTTTTTTTAAATATATTATATTATTATTTTATAGGTTTTTAGTGAAGGACAGATACACACAGTTCTCACCCGCACAGCGCAGTCTTCTAGTCATGCAAATATTGCTGCGAGCCAAATACGACAATACTGACACTAAGGTAAGATTTTATTTAGGTAAGCTACTTAAGTAAGGTAAATGCCATTTATTACAGTTTTTGGGTAAGTTATGATTTTTTTTATTTTTTAACCGCTTTTTTTATTTAAAGTAAATATGGTTAAAGTTTTATTTATTTTATTAATTTAATTTTTTGAAAAAATGAAATATATCCTAAATTGCAAACATATTTCTACAAATTGAACAGAGTCGCAGGCAAGAACTAGTAAATTAATAATTATAAGAACAGTTTTTTTATATACTTAATTTATCTACTTCAAAAGGAGAGTTCAAATGTTTTATTAATTTAGTGTGTAAACTTTGTAAATTAAAGTTTGTGGAGTTGTAAGAAAAGGTGGTAATCTCTGGATCTACTGAACCGATTTAGATGAAATTTGGTAAGAATATAGTTTGAGACCCTGGGAAGGACATGGGATAGTTTTTATCCCGGAAATGATAAATTAATTCATAAATATTTATTTCCAGATGGGCATCCGTAGATTATTGAACGATGGTACTTACTTGGCCTGCTTCCCGTTACATGAAGGCCGGTATGATGTAGACATGGAGGATAAGACTCAATCGGATAGACGGGTATATATGTATATATAATAGTAGCGTCAGAGTATTATTGTGTGTGTATGTTTGTTACTCACTACTCACTGAAATTGCTGGACGGATTTAGAGGAAATTTAGTAGACAAATAAGACTATGAACTGGAGTAACGTATAGGCTTTGGCACAAGAACCGAGTGAAGTGAGGTTAAGTTGCTAGTATAAATATATTCGCATTTATTACAATACTAGCGACTCACCTTCGCTTGGATCCGTCCCTAGGTACGTTTTTTTTGAGCGGAACCCTAATTCTTTTTCCCAAAGAAAAGTAGCCTATGTTACTCCCTATCCCTCAGCTATCTTCCAGTGAAAGTCCCGTCAAAATCAGTCCAGTCGTTTCAGAGATTATCCAGCACAAACAGACAAACAAAAATTTTAAAAAATTGTGTTTTTCTTATAAGTAGTCCTTGTATAATTTAATACGCATTTAGTAAAACGCTGTTATTTCGACATTACAAACAGACTCTTCAATTTTATCTATCTGTATAGACTAGTGATCTACCCTCGCTTTGCTCGCACTTATAAAACTACGAAAACTCTTAAAATGGATGACTTTTCAGCAAAATGTTTATAAAACATAGCTTATAATTTTTTTAGATCTCTTTCTAATGGTGGAAACTGTATGAAAATCAATTCAGTAGTTTCTGAGATTTACTTCAACACAAACTTAGCGTGGCGGGCGACTCGTTCATAATATTTATTGATTATTTTTGTATTTTTAAAATGATTGTATGATTTTATAGTTAATTACTGTCTCTAATAAGTATATAATGATCTTTGAGACATCTAAAACCTTATTAGTCTCTCCCGTGACCATGCGCGCTGTAAAGCATTTCAAACTTCGGGAACCAAAAATCAAAATAAATCCGCGAAAAAATCCGAAAAGATAGATTTATTTAAAATGTCAAATATTCGCGTAAATCTAAGAAAGTATTATTTGTTGATTGAGTGAGAATTTTAATATTTGTATAATAATTTCACAGCTGTTGTACTTAGAATGGGCACGACCGTGTAAATGGTATAAAAAGCAACCTCTCTGGCTGGTGAGGAGATATTTCGGGGAGAAGATAGGCTTATATTTCTGTTGGTTGGGTTTTTATACAAAAATGTTATATGCACCAGCCATTGTGGGGACGTTGTGTTTTTTATACGGCTTGGCCAGTATGGATTCTAAGGATAATATTCCTAGGTAAGTTGTTATTCTTTATAATATAGATAAAAAAGAGGTTGAACGTTTGTATGAAAATCCGTTCAAAAATTTGAAATGAGATTAATATTGTAATCAATTTTACTGATTAAAAATAACGATTTTTGTTATTTAAAGTTATAGGTAGGAAGAAAATTATATATATAGTAAGTAATCGGCTATAATAATATGTTTAGAAATACATAAATAAAATACGCGAGCAGATCCCCTTACAGTAATATTCACATAAGGTATATAAGGTATAATTGCCCTAAGGTTGCCTGGACGAGATCGCTTGTAGCGATAAGGCCGCCATGCATCATTCATTTGTTAATTTTTTCTTATGTCTATTTCTTTGTGTTGTACAATAAAGTATTCATCATCATCTCCCTGCCCATTTTCCAATGACTTAGAGTCGGCGCAGTACATCTTCCGTACAGCCGATACAATTTGGCAAAACTTTTACGACCGGCCGTCTAATAAAGTATTATATCTATCTGTAAGCCAAAATCATATTTCCAGTAAAGAAATCTGCGATGTGACCGGTCCCGGTAACACCACACTGTGCCCGCTCTGTGACAAAGCCTGCCAGTACCAATCCCTCTCAGACTCGTGTCTGTTCGCCAAACTGACTTACCTGTTCGACAACCCTGCAACTGTGTTCTTTGCTATCTTCATGTCTTTCTGGGGTAAGTTTCATTTATTATTGGGTAAAAAAATCTATTTTCAAAAGTGCAAAGTAATAGTTACGAACAAGTTATAACAATCCTAAAACCGTTTCTCGCCTTTCATATTAAATTACGCATGACAGTCGGGAACGCCTCCCACGCAACCCACCATATACCTTCGTTAGACAACTGTTTGTATGTATCAGTAGATTGTAATTGAGAATGTTTATTTTAGTAATATAGAATAGGTATATATTTAATTTGATAATCCATGGAAATACCGATATGATTTGATAACTTTTTTTCTAATATTTTTTTTTTCGAAAAATGTCTTACCTTATGTTCCCATATAAATTTCAAAAAACTCAATTATTAATGATCGATGAAGATGGAAAAATGACGTAGTGATTTAAAGTCGGTGTACATTTTTAGTTAAAAATTGGTTATCTTAATGATATTTTATTTATTTACAGCAACAACATTTTTGGAACTGTGGAAAAGAAAGCAATCTGTGCTGAGATGGGAGTGGGACTTGGGAGGAGTGGATCATGTTAGTAAATATTCTAATTTTATTTACAGGGTTTAGGTTGATTCCCCATACAAATTTCATCCCCATTTTCACCCCCTTAAGGGATGATTTCCGAAATAAAAAATATCCTGTCCAGGATCTCAAACTGTCTTCTTACCAAATTTCATCTAAATCAGTCCAGTAGTTTTTGAGTTTATTCGTTACTGTCGCAGGCTTGTGTAGGCCGTAACGGGACTTTAATAAAAGTAGTGGACTATATATGAAGTACGTATAATCAAATTAGAGTTTGAGGAAGTGTCCGTAGTCCAGCGCGCAGGTAGGCGAAGTGGGCGATCAGATGCGCTCGCGGTCGGGGAGGGTCCCCCGCCCGCGCAGCTCATACGTCACGCGCCTGGTAAGAGGGAGACGCGCCGACAGTTACAAACATACAAAAATCCTCTTTATAAGTAGTGTAAACTAGAGCCAAATAACAATTGTCTATTATTGCTTGTATAATATAAAATTTTACTAATTATTGTAAAAATGGATGTTCAAATGTATTTTCCGTACTAAAATATCCATATTTAAAAAAAAATCATTGCGATCAGTTTGTCGGTGTAGAAGTTAATGCAACGCCATCTGTTGGCGAGTTTTAGCTAAGTTTAAAAAAGTTTAATAATATATAAAAAAATCAAAGCACTCGAACAATATGTTTTTAAGATTTCCTGGTGACTGACATAATATAAAGCTGGACATTGATGTAAAACAAGATAAATACCAAGTTTTTTTTAGTTTGTACTTACTTTTATGAGTTCTCAATATTTCGGGTATAAATATGTATGACCCGTAAATATTGTCGTTGTCTCGCACGCGTTCTTGTCCACCGCTGGACATAAGCCTCCTACACACATTCCTACGACAGCCGGTCTTTTGCCATCCGCATCCAGTGGGCACCAGCAACTTTAACCAGGTCATCAATCCACTTTGTGGGAGGCCTAGCCTTGGTTTTCCGGTATGGCCAAAGTACAAGACCCATATATACTGATAATAATTAATACCTTACCTACCTATTGATCGTTCCGAAATATCGAAAACTCAAGCCTTTTTAACATCCCACTGCTGGGGGTGGGCCTCCCTTCAATACTTGTAGGATCGAGCCATAGTCCACTACGCTGGCCAAGTGTGGGTGGACTGAGCATGGCTTTCGACAACTTGTTAGGTTCTCTCAGACATATAGGTTTATCGGGATCTCATAAAAGTAAGGAAAAAAATCTATCATCCATCCAGGATGAGGAACCGCGTCCAGAATTTGAGACATCAGTGAAGACATTCCGCACTAACCCTGTGACGAGAGAGAAGGAACCCTACCTACCAGCGTGGCAGAAGACCATGAGATATGTGGCCACCAGTTCTGCTGTACTGTTTATGGTAAGCAATCCACACTAATCACACAAACAATACACCCCTAGCTAAATTTGTTTTTATATCTCTCTCTGTTCGTTGTTGTATCTGTCTGTTTGCTAAGTTTCATCCAAATCTGTCCAACCGTTTCTTAGTTACTTTCATATTTGTAATATAGATGTATATTCGGAGCTAAATGCTAAAACACGTATTTATTTAATTGTATTGAAGAACATTAATACCAAGTTTCAAGTAATTCTGATCGTAAATAATTTTTCCGGCTCTATTATAAAGTGTATTCCCGTAGGAAAGAGATAATCTCCCGCGGTAAAAAGTATGTGTCGCTGTCCAGCCCTCCAACTATCTCCACACAGAAAATCACGCCAATCCGTCACTCCGTTTCATCGTGAAAGAAGGACAAACAAACAAACACACTTTCACATTTGTAATATTAGTATGGGTTATAAAACATTATTGTTTGACTTAATGTTTAGTTTTATAGCGCTCTGTCTATATAATTATTACTTAGTCTGAATTATTATAATATCATATATGTATATTTTCCCATTTTCCAGATCACAATAGTAATGGGAGCAGTATTAGGTACAATAATCTATAGGATATCAATGGTGTCGGTCATCTATGGGGGTAGTGGGTTCTTTTTAAAGCGACACGCCAAAATTTTCACTGCCATGACAGCTGCCTTGATTAACTTGACGATGATAATGATTCTTACTAGGGTAAGTTTTATTTGTTATTGGGTAAGTTTATGTTGTGTTAGTGGTAGCCCAAAGGTAACGCGCTCGTTTGGGAAACTGAGTGAAGCGGGTTCAAATCCCGGGTCTCGCACCTCTGATAATGTCATGTGTAAACCATTTCCATCATGATTACTACATTGTCTTACGATGAAGGAAAACATCGTGAGGAAACCTGCATGTCTGAGAGAACCTAGCAAGTTTTCGAAAGACATGTGAAGTCCGCCCGCACTTGGCCCACTTGGTGGGCTATGGCCTGATCGTTCACGTATTAAATGCCCACGCCCAGCAGTGGGAGGTTAAAAAGGGTTGAATACAAAACAACTAACTAATCTCGAGCTAAAATTTTGCATTTAATTAATATCTTTTCCGAAAAACGCCAAACGAAGCTCAGTCGCCCAGATATTTTCTTAAAAAATGTTCATTTCAAAAACATCATTTCCAGATATATTCTAAAGTGGCGGTATATTTGACAAATTTAGAAAATCCCAGAACTCAAACTGAATATGAAGACTCTTATACATTTAAAATTTTCTTCTTTGAATTTATCAACTTTTATTCGTCACTTATCTACATCGCTTTTTTTAAGGTAAGTTATAATAATTTTTAAATTGTTATGTTTAAACATTTGAAAGTTTACAACAAACATACATCTTAAATGTAAAAAAATATATATATATATAAGCATATGGCATGTGCGATTAAATCTATACATATAATAAAACTGTAGAGGTCGAATGATACTGTACATAGAAAAAATTGTTAAAAACCGAGTCAGGGGGATGTAAGAAAAGAAATAGAACAAATCCAGATTTTTTTTTCATTTTTTTGGGCCTCTGTCTGTTTGTACGGGCTAATCTCCGAAACTGTTGGACTGATTTAAATAAAATTTTGCATAATGGTACCTTATATCTCCAGTCGATATTTTAGATACTTTTCATCCCGAAAAATTAAATAGTTCCCGTGGGCTAGTTAAAAAACTATAGTTACAGCTTAGTACACGAAAACTACTGATTAGATTTTAGGGAAACATACTTATTATTTTATACATCAGAAGAAATCATACCTTAGAGAGGGTGAAAATGGGGATGAAAGTTTGTATTGGGAAGCAAGCTAGGGAACGCGAGCGAAGCGAGGGTGAGTCGCTAGTTTTATATAATTTAAAAGTTGCTATAAACTATGTTTGATTTTTCATTAAAGTCAAAAAAAAAATATTTACATAATCATTGCCATTAGAATGAAATAATGATTATATGTACTAACACATAATTTTAATCCCAGGGACGTTTTTTCGACTATCCCGGGGACGATCAAGCGAGAAAGTCTGAGTTTTTCAAACTAAAAGGAGACATTTGTGATCCCGCGGGATGTCTCTCCGAGCTCTGCATACAACTCGCCATCATAATGATTGGGAAGCAGTGCTTTAATAACTTCGTTGAGTTGGGATATCCGTGAGTATTACGTTCTTATTTTATCCGTTATCCGTTATGGTATTATCCTATTTGTTTGTATCCTTAAATTTTTTTAAGTTCTAAATCTGTCATGTTTGTAAATCAGTGATTTGATAAAATTATTTTTACCGACCAATCTCCTTCGTGTCTTCTCCATTTGAAGCCAAAATTCCATTTGAAGCCATTAACAAGAGAATCGATTTGAATTAAAATAATTTTATTTGTTTTTAAAAGAGAAATTTATTCGATTTGACAAAATGTTAAAAAATATACAATTCGAAGGGCAGAATTCGAAATTAAATTCTTCTTTTCGGATGGCAAAATTAAAACGCGCGTTGTTTCGTTTAAAATAGTACTTTATGTGGTGTGCGTAAGTTCGAATTTGTGTTTAGACAATTAGAACTTTGGATTATTGAATTTTATTCTTTGGTCTGACTTAACGTCACATGTCGATGCCACTTTTTGAAGAGATTATTCTTAGGAAATGTGTATCTATCTATATTTTAAATAACCAACTTTGCGGATTTTCTCGCGAATTTACTTAGATTTTTGGTTCCCGACGTTTCGAATTCTTTACAGTAAACATGATCACGGGAGTCTCTCCCGTCCTCTGAAAAACGAAAAGGTAGTTATATTTAAAACCACAAATATTTGCGTAAATAAGAAAATATTACCTACATATTATGTATCTATGTATGTTTTTGTATAACCTATCTATAAAGATAAATAAAATTGAAGTGTCTGTTTGTAATATCAAAATAACAGCGTTTTACTAAATGCATATGAAATTATATACGGTACTTATAATAAAAACACAATTTTTAACATTTTTGTCTGTCTGTCTGTTTGTTGATAATCTCTGAAACGGCTGCACTGATTTTGACGGGACTTCCTTTGGCAGATAGCTGATGTTATAAGGAGTAACTTAGACTACTTTTATTTCAGTAAAAAAATTAGGGTTTCGCACAAAAAAATTAAAATATACAGTATTAAAATAGTACTATATTAAAATAAACTATGTATTACATTGTACTTTAACAAAAATATTAACAAAAAATCCAGCAAAGTGCACAACTGGTGGCGCCAGCGCTCGCACCGCGCCGTCACCCGCGACCCCAGCAAGCCGCACATGGCGTGGGAGCAGGACTACCACCTGCAGGACCCCGGCCGCCTCGCGCTCTTCGATGAATACCTTGAAATGAGTTAGTTATCTTGCTCCATTCAACCCTTCTCTAAAGGTTTAGTGGCTTGCATGTATGGCTGTAGATCCGGAGATTCTGGGATTCTGAGTTCGAAGCCCGGGTCAAGCCAAGTTTAATGTTAAAGTATCCTACTAAGATATTCACACTGTGTGTCACTCGCCGTTGCTGCTGTTTGCTTTATAGTAGGGGAGCCCAAGAGGGGATTTTCTGTAGTTACTCGAGCGCGGCAGATTAACATAAAAGAGGTTACCTTGCACTCTATTGAGTACTTTCACCACAATATAAGTCTTCTATATAAAGAGGCGCGTCTAGGGAAGCCGATTAAAATATTTAAAAAATGTTTTGATAAGGTAAAAATACTTGAAACCGTCAGATAGATAGGTGGTAGGCTAGTCACATCCTGAAAAGTGTCCAATTTAATAATCTGCCGATTTGCACAAGCCTAAGAGGCAAAAATCATCATAAACTTTATAGTCGATTTAACTATTAACTTTCATCGTGAGTATCGGAGTGTGAGTGAGAGGGACAAAGAGCACAAGTCATGTGTCTCTCTCCCTCGCACGCACTTGTATAGTATCAATGAGATTGGCCACCATAGCCGAAACCGATCAGGTCTCACGAGGACATTTCTATTATTTATACGAAAGTTTTGTATGTGTGTATGTTTGTTACTCCTTTACGCTGAAACGGCTAGATTGATTTGAATGAAATTTAGTACACAGATAGATAATACGAGCTGGAATAATACATGCTTTTGTTAGCCATCTCAATATCTATCCGAGCGAAGCGAAATAACTAGAATGTATTTTGTATTGTATTCAGCCATTTTTAACGTGTCACAGCTGGGCGTGGGACTCTCCCTTCAATACGAGGGGGACCAGGCCATAGTATACAACTAGTATAGTACATATAAAGTATGACGACACGTTTGGCTCAGTTTGTAGTGACCCTACTTGCTGTGCCAGTGGTCGCGAGTTCGAGTCCCGCTGGAGGCATTCATTTGTGTGATGAGCACGAATGTTTGTACTCCAGTCATGGGTGTTTATATTTATAATATGTATGTATTTAAAATTATATATGTGTAGTGTATCAACTATCTGGTATCCATAACAAAAGCCTCGTAGCTTACCATGGAACTAAATGGTGCTGTGTTTTAAAAAAACTAATATTTCTATTATTTCCACAGTTTTACAATACGGGTTTGTGACGTTGTTCGTAGCAGCGTTTCCTCTAGCGCCATTATTTGCCTTGTTAAATAATATAGCAGAGATACGTCTAGATGCGTACAAAATGGTGACTCAGGCGAGACGGCCGCTGGCTGAGAGGGTCGAGGATATTGGGGCCTGGTAAGTGTTCGTTTGTTTGTTTGTTTTTATCTAGTTGGATTAGTAGTTTAGGTTTGTGGCTGCAGATTGTTGAGTTTGGAATTCGAATCTCGGCTCAGGCTAAAATAGTTGTAGAGTTCTTATGTCCAGTTTGTAGTAAAGTTTTTTTTTTTTAAATTATATTTGAATTAAATATTGATTTTAATCTTGGCACTTTGTCAAGATATTGTACAATATGTTTTTTTATTGAAAAGCCAAAAATTATTTTGGCATAGCAATGAGTATTCTAAGTATTATCGTTTGGCTTTATATTTAGCTCTATGACACTCTGTCTAGTATATTATTCCTTAGTCCTTCAGTTAATAAAATAAATCTCTAATTCCAACATCGTAGTGAAGTTTTTTGTCAGTATGAATTTATGCTATGAAAATAAAAAAAAAACAATCTTATATATGTATATTTATATATAAACGATATTTATACTTATATGTAAATATAAATGTTTTTAAAGAAAACTTTTTTTTTCAAGGTATGGAATATTAAGAGGTATCACATACGCTGCAGTTGTATCTAATGTAAGTATTTTTCTTAAATGACTCATTTTGTACTACATCGTATCCATACTAATCCATATCCATAGTAATATTATAAATGTGAAAGTTTGTGAGGATGGAAGGATGTTTGTTACTCTTTTACGTCAGAACGTCTAAACGAATATGGATGAAATTTGGCACAGAGATAGATTATAGTCTGAAATAGTACACAGGCTAAGCGAAAGTGAGTCGCTAGTATTATAAAAGTGAAAGTGTATATGTTTGTTTGTCCATCTTTCACGTCAAAGCAGAGTGACAAATTGACGTGATTTTTTTGGTGGATATAGTGGCTGGAGAGTGACATAGACTTATTACTGTGAGAGATTAATTCTCATTCCCATGGGAAAACACGTTATAAATACAACCTACAACAAGTCATCATACCCATGTATATGTATAGTATATTTCACACTAATCGTTAAAACCCGAATGAAACGTGGGTGAGTATACGTAGAAAGGAGATTCACGTTTGTGAGTTGAACCCTAAAGTCAAAGAATACGTGCAACGTGTTAGAAAATTCCGTCCGAATATTTTTTAATATGGCATTGAGATATATTTTGTTAAAAATGAAGTTGACAGTCAAAATGGGTGATTAAATCTGTGACACAAAATATATTTGGGTTTCCTTAAAGGAGTAATAAAATCAATCGATATCTCCTCCTTCTGTAGGCTCTGATGATGATGATGATAATGAGAGCTGAGCGCTGTACGGTTTACCGTTACCAAAAACGTATTAACGGAAACAAATGTACGTTTTTAGGGTTCCGAACCTAAAAGGGTAAAAAAACTCTTATAAAATCACTCTCTTGTCCGTCTGTCCGTGTGTCACCACCGATTTTTATTGCCAATACAGCAAACCATATACGAAAATCGATTCTTTATTTTTCTAACTGACTGACTAAAAAAATTAAATTACAGGCATTTGTGATAGCCTACACCAGCGATTTCATCCCCCGCATGGTGTACAAATACGTGTACTCGCCGGACAACACTCTCGCCGGTTACATTGATCACTCGTTGTCATGTGAGTATGATTGGTTGTGTTAAAACTATTCATTCGCGTGTGTGTGTGTATGCGTGTATAAGTATGTGTGTGTGTGTGTGTGCGCGCGAAAATTTGCATGTGTAGGTTCTTTAATACACTGATAGAGTTCGACTTGGGCATATGTACATTGTACCATAGGCAGTGGTAGTCCAGTGGTAATGCACTTACTTTAGAAACCGAGTGAAGCCGGTTCAAATCTCGGGTCTCGCACCTCTAATATTTTTATGTGCGAATCATTTCTAACATGATTTTTGAACACTTGCCTTACGGTGAAGGAAAACATCGTTAGGAAACCTGCATGTCTGAGGGAACCTAGCAAGTTTTCGAAAGACATACTCAGTCTACCCGGCCTGATCTCCCCACATATTGAAAGGGAGGCCCACACTCAGTGACCCACCAGTGGGACATAAAAAAATGAGCTGAATACAAACCAAATACAATGAAACCACCAGTGTTCAACACATCGGACTACAAAGAGGAGTGGGGCGCGGACGAGAACGAGGTGGACCCGCCGCTGTGCGCGTACCGCGGCTACCGCAACCCGCCGCACCACGCCGACCCCTACGGCCTCTCGCCGCATTACTGGCACGTTTTTGCTGCCAGATTGGCTTTTGTTGTTGTTTTTGAGGTGAGTGAGACATAAGATAGACATATGAGAGATATATATTTATATATATATATAAAAATTTGGTGTTGCAAAAACCGTTTTTTTTCTATCGTGAAAAAAACTTGATTTTTTTTTCTGGAGCATGTTTTTTTCAATAGTACAGAATTCAAAATTATTAAGATAGTTTCCGTAAAAGATTAATACTTAAGTGTTCATATTAGAGTTTTCTGTTTATTTTCAAAACCTATCACACTTTTTTGGTTGATTATACCAAGTTTTTAAGTGAAAACTACAACACTCACAAGGACCAAGACTAGTGTGGCATTAATATTGAAAATGGTACTGACATTGACACAGAGAAAGAATATTTTTTTATTTAATTGAATCTTTATATACTTAATTCGATTTGTAATTTTTGTAAAACGTAAGAGATTAAAAAACATACCTAAATAAACCATTACATTTTCTATAGTTTTTTTTCTGACAAAACCAAAGTTAGAAAAAAAACATGAATATAATAATGCCAATATAATAATAATCGTAACTATATTTTTTTGTTATATTTAATATAATAATTATGTCCACAGCACGTAGTTTTCGGTCTAACTGGTCTCATGCAGTTATTCATACCCGACATACCGACAGAACTAAAAACACAAATACAAAGAGAAGCCCTCTTGGCAAAGGAAGCTAAATATGAACATGGTCGACGGAGACTGTCCACAGAGTACCGACAGTTGATAAGCCAAAATGATAATAATAATGGTAAGTTCCAAACAAACACATACACAAACACACATACACACACACAAAAACACAAACACACACACACATACAGACACAATTTTTTTCGTATTCATATTAATATTATAAATTCAAAAAATAATATTTAATGTACAGATTCGAGTCGTTAGAATTTTATTACATGTATAGATATTTTAGTCTTTATTTATTGTATTTTTTTTTTCAGGTTTAATTGGAAGGACGATTGGCGTAAAAACAGCCAACTCTAAAAGAGGATCAATAAGTCAGTGTAAGTATTTTTTTTTAATTTAAAAGTATTTTTTAAAAGGTTTTTAAATTCAAAATAAATGATAGTGATACAAAACTTTTATCAAAATAGCTATCTAAGTCACAATCTATACATATAATAAAATTGTAACTAAGCCGAATCTGTACATTAGATATTTTTTGGAAAATCTTATTGAAATAAACATTATTATCGATACAGAGGCCGAATCCATGCTTTTTAGAATTTTTGTCTGTCTATCTGTCTGTTACTGCATCACAGAAAAACCACAGGAGGGATTTTGATAAAATTTGGTATGATGATAGCTGGTTATCCGGGTCAACATATAGGATACTTTTTACCGCGAGAAAATATCTCATTTTTGAGAAAAATACAAAAACTGCATTATAAGAGTATACTAATATGTAAAACCTAAGAATTTGGTTTTTGGTCATCTGAACGCGGGCGGAGACGCGGGCAATGCTAGTATAAATATAAAGATTAGTTTCTTATAGTAATAATGTCTTCCTGGTCGATCCATTTCAGTCAAAGTTAGAATTCCCTTTAATACAAGGGGGACCAGGTCATAGCATATAATTAGTGTAGTACATATACATTTTGACGACACATTTGTCTCAGTTTGTAGTGACCCTACTTGCTGTGCCAGCGGTCTCGGGTTCGAGTCCCGCTGGGGGCATTCATTTGTGTGATGAGCACGAATGTTTGTACTCCAGTCATGGGTGTTTATATTTATAATATGTATGTATTTAAAGTTATATATGTGTAGTGTATTAACTATCTGGTATCCATAACACAAGCCTCGTAGCTTACTATGGAACTAGATGGTGCTGTGTGTTAATGTCCCAACATATTTATTATTTATAATACGACTCTAAAGTTATTTGTAAGAAATGCTATCGGCCTTAATTTTAACGGAAATGCCGCTAAATGCAAGGGCTGTCGAAAATACCAATCCTAAAAGTTGATTGGTCTCAGTGAAGTTATAAGATTTTCGAATCATGTTTTTAAAACTTTTTTTTAATATGATGATGATGATGATGGTGAGAGTGTCGGCGCAGGACCGACGGCTTTACGTGCTCTCCGAGGCACGGGGGTGAAACACCGCCAACTTCCCAACTCCGGGCTGTTACTGAGGCTTACTATACAGAAAGACTCAATAACTAAACTTGGCCCGACCCGGGACTCGAACCCAGGACCTCCGAGTGTGCAGCCGTACATGCTAGCCACTACACCACCAAGGCAGTTTTAATATAATAGATTAATGAAATCATTCTTTTTTTCCAGAAAACCATTATGTTATCAATGAAAAATAGTTTTGTTTTAATTCGACTTAATTTTACACAATTTTTTTTTAATATTTAATTATGGGTTAGAACATTTTGGACTTTTAATTTAATAGAGAAATTGTTATGTATATATTAGAGAATTACTTAGAGAATTACTATCGTAAAAAATAACTATGACGATAATCGTATTATTCGTGTATTTCACGAGCTCGCTATCGAGTATCGTGGTAGAAAAAAATTAACATTATAGAACATCTATTTATATATAAACAGAACTTTAGTTTGTTTTAGATATATTTAAAATATATTATGTTATAATAAGTGCTGTTAGAACATTTATTATATATTATTATACTGTGTTAGTGTTAGCCCAGTGGTAACGCGCTCGCTTGGGAAACCGAGTGAAGCGGGTTCAAATCCCGGGTCTCGCAATTTCAATTTTGCACTGCAATTTTGATATTCTCATGTGCAAATCATTTCTAACATGATTACCACTTGTCTTACTGTGCACATGCTCAGTCCGTCCGCACTCGGCCAGCGTAGTGGACTATGGCCTGATACCCCTCGTATTGTAGGGAGGCCCACGCCCAGCAGTGGGACGTGAACAAGGGCTGTATTACACACACAAATACAGGAAAAGACGAGAATCTCATTTTTTGAAGTCGGTTAAAACATTTACTATAGAACTTTCATAAAAAAAATATTTTTCATATAAATTATATTCTAACAGCATTTATTTAGGGTCCAAGGTACTTAAAATTAAGCATGTGTTCTCTCAAACCTAGTCATAGACTAACTATACGAGTATGACCAAATATTAAGGGTATTATTATAATTACTAGATATTACATAAAATATTATATTATTTATTACGTGTTAGTATTTTTTTGTAAAACAATATTATTGTAAAATAAAAAAAAAATATCCACTTCAATTGTCAATAGATGGCGCTGGTCTTTTAGAATTCAGTGCTAAGTTTTGTATTGAAAATTTTATCGAATTTGAATTTTTTGTATTTTTTTTATTATTTATATCATTTGAATTATTTATATTATTTGAATTGTTATGTCACTCTGCTTACTTGAAACTTCGAATATTTATCAAAAACAACTATTAAAGCTTCTACAAAATTGTATACACATTTATTAAAGTAACTAGCGCCATCTGTATCATTGTTGAAAAATTATTATAAAAATGGCGTGAATAAGTTGTCAAGCTGAGATTTTTTCCTGTGTAAATAAAACAAAAAAATCCTTCTTTGCGATAGAATAATTATTTTTATTAATTACTAGCGACTCCCTAACTTCTTACCAAATTTCATCTTAATCGGTTCAGTAGATCCAGAGATTACCCCCTACAACATCACAAACTCACAAACTTTACCTCTTTATAATATTAGTATAGATATTGATTATACACTATTTAATATTTAATTATGAAATTACCATTTCGCGTTGGCAAAGCAAAAACCTCACCATTCCTTAACAACAGCGCCATCTATTGGATATAACTATAGCTAAGAACTATCTATATGACAGTTATATACATAAAAAGTCATTAAAATCGGTTAAGCCATTTAAGAGAAGAAATACAAACAGACGCACAACGAAATTTTATATATGAAGATATTTTTATTTATTTTCTTATCACAAATACAAAAAATAATAAAAGATTGTGCTTGACTTTAAAATTCATAATATCTTTTTTTCTTTATACTTGTTTTTTAAAATGGCTGCCCTGAACTTAAGTATCAACTTATTCATGCCATACAAAAATGGATACTTTATAAATAAATAAGTATTTTATAAGTTATAAGTAATCTACTTAGACTAAGGAATAATATAAACAGAATGTCATAGAACTAAACATGGAGTCAAACAATAATGTTTTAAAATATAAATGACAATTGAGAATAATTTAAATAATATATAAAATTTTCTTTATTTTAAGCGATATGTATGGCAACATCGAGAATTCTCGTAGTAGCATAAACAACAAAACACGCTACTATTTTTGACTTTGACATTTATTTTGGCGGACTCCGTTTATATGGTTCTTTAAGTCAGAGTGTAATCTCATAGAGTAAGATGTGTTTTCTGACAAAATGTGATATTAATTTACAATAAAAACGCACAGTTGTTTTATTTCAACACAAATACATATTTTATTTCGTATGGTCCCGTTTTTAATAAGATATAGGTACTAGCAGAACCCGCGGCTTCGCTCGTGCAAAAATTAAAAAAAAAGACTAAAAAGGTAGGTTTCATACAAACTTTCATCCCCTATTTTACCCTCTTATGGGATGAATTTAGAAAAATGCTAAAACACATATTTACTTAATTATATTGAAGAGCATAAATACCAAGTTTCAAGTAGTTCTGTTCATAAATATTTTTTTGGGTTGTATTATAACGTGTTTTCCCGTGGGAATGAGATTATCTCCCGAGATAAGAAGTAGCCTATGTCACTCTCCAGCTCTTCAACTATCTCTTCACAAAAAATCACGCCAATCCATCACTCCGTTTCGACTTGAAAGAAAGACAAACAAACGAACACACTTTCACATTTATAATAAGATATGGGCATGTATACATTTTGACAACACTTATAACTCGAGAACTGCTGGAACGATTTTTATGATCTTTGTTTTGTTGGATTTCTCTTCACTCCGAATAGTAGAATAACTATTAAAACATCGGGAAAATTGACGAAAAAAAGTTTGGAAAAAAAAGTATTCCAGACTAAGCGTCTAAACGTAACGAACCTGAGCGAAGCGAGGGTGAGTCGTTAGTAATATTAATCCCTCCACGACCGCGGACACGCCGAGGTGTCAGTTAACAATAGATTTCTTAGAATTTTAATTAATTTCTTAGAAATTTACTTGGAGGTGTTAATAACGTTAAAAGTACATATAACAATCATACAATTAATAACAAACACTAAGACTCGTCAAAAGTTATAAAACGAAAAAAAAAGAAAATCGGTAGACATACAGAGGAAGTATTTATTGGAAAATCTTACTGAAATATTCATTATTATCGATAGAGAGGCCGAATCTATTGTATTTAGAATTTTTGTCTGTCTGTCCGTGACCGCATTACGAGAAAACCTCGACAGATTTTAATGAAATTTGGTATGATGATAGCTGGTTATCCGGGTCAACATATAGGATACTTTTTACTGCGGGAATATATGTCATCTCTGAGAAATCTATACTAAACGTTAAAACACATTATGTAACATCTTTATATATATAATTCTTCTGTGAGTGTGTATGTCACTGAACTTCTCTCAAACGACTGGACCGATTTTGATGAAATTTTTTGTGTGTGTTCAAGAGGATCTGGGAATGGTTTAGATTCACAATTTGAATAATAATTTTCATCAAAATGGTCCAGAATGTTTTAGGTTATTAAAAAAAGTTTGAAATTTTCAAATTAAAGACGTGTAGACAGGACAACGTCTGTCGGGTCCGCTAGTATTATATAAATCTCATAACTTCGTATCGCCACATTGCTTACTATTTACTATCAGGCGCAAGTATCTTTCATACAAAATTACTGACGATGATAAGTTTCTACTTTCTCAAGCTGTTTTTACTGGAATTAACTCCAGGTCATAGTGTACCTGTGTACGAAACATCCAAATCTGTCTATCCGTTTCAGCGTGAAGGTGTAACAAACATACAAACATACAGGTTTTTGTTATATTTATAATAGAAGCGTGATTTTATAACAGCAATACCCTAATAATAGATGTAGAATGAATGAATGAAAAAATAATATAAATGTGGAAGTTTGCGAAGATGTATGGAAGTTTGTTACTCTTTCACGCAAAAACTACTGAATGGATTTTAATGAAACTTTACAACAATATAGCTCATACATAAGAATAACACATAGGTTACTTTTTATCTTGGAAAAATATACGGTTCCCGTGGGATAGATTTGTTTTTGTTTTTCTAGAGACGAAACCGAGCGAAGCGAGGGTGACTCGCAAGTAAAAAATAAAACTTTGCCTATTTTCTGCATTGGTGAAAGAAACACATTTATATTCAGTGAGCCATGCGGGAATTGAACTCGCGATCTCCAAAGTTAAAGATACCTACATTTACAAAACCATGCACGTACAATAGAAGTTCACAGATCACGGCAGTATAAAAGACAAAACTGGGTCATACGAAGTTTATTGCTGTCATTGCAAGATAACTAAATAAACACACGCGAAGACGTAAAATTAATTTTGCGCTTTAATCTTTCATAAAGAATATGTAGCATTGTATCAACCGCCACATGATACGGGTTCGATTCCAGCACAAAGCAAATTAAACAAACGCAAGACATTAGGTCAGCTCATCATCAAGTCAGCTCCATGGTGTCTAGTATTTACTAAATATAATTAAAACTAGTATTCGCCCAGAGCCTGAAATTCCAAAATCGCAATTGAAAATTTACACAAAAGGCAATATTAATAGCATTTACCTATCTATACCTACATATATAAATAAAACGTGTGTGTGTACGTATGTACACACGTAAAAAGTTATACTTCTTTGGCGTAACAAAACATAAATAGCTAAAGATTTCATCTCGTATGTCACAACACTCTGTTTGTAAAAGAAATGCAGCTAACTTCATCATGTCGCTTTTAGGCTGTCGGTGTGCGCGCGCATCGTAAAAATTTTACTCTCATATTTTTTTACAAACGTGCCAAAAGAAGTATAACTTCAAAAATACCCTCTCCAATTTTTTTTTATTGATTTGAATTAAAAAATTTAGGAAACAAGTTTACGCAGGAACATAATATTATGCAGTCGGAACATCTTTTAAAAAAGTTCCCTTAAAACTGTCATCAATTGTGTTTAGATAATTATTGTAGTTGAAATAAATATAAAACAATGTAAATTGAACCTTAAATGCAATAATTAAAGTTGTTTTTACAATAAAAAATACAATCGAAGCCGCGGCGCGGCGTCACGCCGTGACAAGGTAAGAGTTTATTGCGACTTAATTTAAAAAATTAAAAACTGTTTTGACATTAATTTCTTGATAAAATACTACGAATAAATAGTAAGTACGTGTAAATAATAAAAAAATCGTAAATAAAATTTATTATTAAATAATATGTAATAAATAATATGTATTTACTTATTGAGGGGAGGCCCACCCCCAGCAGTTTGACGTTACAAAGGGTTGAATATAATAACAATTATATAATGATAATATTGAAATTTACCGAAAATATGAAACTCCATGCTTTTTTAACATCCTAGATGTTAAATTTTGCAATTTTTAAACGAGCACCGTGACATGTTTGCCGTCGGAGGGTTCGAATGTTACTAAATTAAAAGTGCGCCCAAATGTTCAAATGAGCGCTCATTTGGTGAGGACATTTTTGTCGCTGAGTCGGAGTAGTATAAAAGATGTACGAGCATGTCTCCGACATCCTAATTTACTCCGCCAGCATCCAGCGTGTTACTTCGTCAACTTTTTAGCTCCGTTTTTAACTTCCGACGCAAAAAGAGGTATGTTATAAGTTTGACGTCGATGTCTGTCTGTCTGTGTATGTGTGTGTGTGTCTGTGGCATCGTAGTTCTCAAACGGATGAACCGATTTCGATGCGGTTTTTTTCATTTGAAAGCCAGTTTTATTGCGGTCGTTCTTAGCTATGTTTGGTTAATATCGGTCCAGCAGTGTAAGAGTATCAGCTCTTTTCCAAAACGATGTAAGGCATTTTGGCGTATGATTACTCGATTAAGTGCTTCACGCGTGCCAGTGTAATCGTTAAGTGACAATTAATTTGCGTAAGGGTTTTTTTTTTAATTTTTAATTTATAATTATTGTTATTTATTTTTGACAAATCTTCACTACGATGAAAGAAAACATCATGAGGAAACTTGCACGTCTGAGAAAACCCGGTGATGTTACAAATATCCACATTCGCATCCGCATTCGCATACAAATGTCAGAAAAATATGTGAAAATGATATTAGGTAAATAAAACTAAAAATATTCATTTTTAATAATTATTAATTTTGATAAGAAAACGAACTTAACGTAAGATCACAATTGTATCTTCAATCAGTCTTTAACATTAGGTAATAAAGCTTTAGACTTAGCTGTGTAACACATGAATAAGTTAGAAACAAAAACAAACAATCATACTAATATTATAAAGTAGCGGCTCACCCTCACTTTGTTCGGGTTCGCTTCTAGGACACTAAAAACAAACCTATCCCACGGGACCCGTACATTTTTCCGGGATAAAAAGGTAGCCTATGTGTTATTCCAGACTATAATCTATCTCTGTGCCAAATTTCATCCATATCCGTTCAGCCGTTCTGGCGTGAAAGAGTAACAAACATCCATACATACATACTCACAAACTTACATTTATAATATTAGTATAGATGCCAAAGTTTGTGAGGATGTATAGATGTCTGGATGTTTGTTACTCTTTAACGCCAAAACTGCTGAATGTATTTTGATAAAACTTTACAATAATATTGCTCATACATCAGAAGCGCTAGTATAAAATAAACAAAAAGATATTCTTATCTTTATATTTTTATCAGTATTTACTATTTACATTCATGACATTAATCATCTTTTTTTATGAAAAAAAAAAGATATCGTAATAAGCAAAAAAAAACTTTATTCTTCACTTAAACTTTTTTACTTAGTGTTATAAATAATCATATATCCGTCATTAGGAAACATAATTAGTAAATAATAACTTACAAAAAAATATATTCTTTTGTTACTTTTATCAGTCTTTGCTTGTAGACCTTATACAAATGTATTGTATGTATTCAGCCCTTTAACGTCCCA